AAAAAAAAAAGATAGTGAAAGTAAGATGATCCATTCTTCTAGCTTCCTTTGATTCTTTATGTTTCACGCTTCCATGATTTTCTTTGCCAGCAATCATTTCTGCCACACCACCGCAGTTAATGGGAATCTTGTCATTGACTTCAACAAGCACAAGTTCAAGCCCTACGAGTGTGACTATTTTTTTAAACTCCTGAGTGAAATCTTCCCATGATTTGGTTTTTTTTAAGTCTTAGAGCAGAGCAGTTCCACGTGATCTAAACTCACTCCCTATAGATGCTTTCCCTTCACTGATGTTTAGTTTCACTGCAACATCCTCCCACCACTAAGAACTTAAGAACATAAGAACGACCATACTGGGTCAGACCAAAGGTCCATCTAGTCCAGTATCCTGTCTGCCAACAGTGGACAATTCCAGATACCCCCAGAGGGAGGGATCACAACAGGGAATCCTCATGTGCTCCCTCTCGTCACCCATCTCCAGACAAACAGAGGCTAGGGACACCTTTCTTACCCATCTTGACTAATAGCCATTGATGATCCAACGGATCTAACTTCCATGAATCTATCTAGCCTGTTTTTGAACCCTGTTAAAGTTCTAGCCTTCGCCACATCCTCTGGCAAGGAGTTCCACTTTTAAAATTAATTTCACCACTGATAAGGTTTTATGTTAAAATATACTCCCAACTGCCATTATAGTGCAGATCAAATTCAATCTTAGATAGTGATAAGTCCTGTGCATCTGTCCACCATAAAGACATGGCCCAACCTGCTTCAGGAGTCTCAGGTTTGGAAGGGTCTTTTTTTGGTTGACAGGTTCATAGTCTGAACTATGTTTTAACACTTGAAGTGCTGGAATGTGGGGCGATAGGTGGGTGCTAACCAAACCATTTCTCCCATCATGTTTCCTTGAAACATAAAAGAAAATTCTTCACACAGCGCACAGTCAACCTGTGGAACTCCTTGCTAGAGGAGGCTGTGAAGGCTAGGACTATAACAGAGTTTAAAAGAGAGCTAGGTAAATACATGGGGGTTAGGTCCATAAAAGGCTATTAGCCAGGTTGTAAGGAATGGTGCCCCTGGCCTCTGTTTGTCAAAGGCTGGAGAAGGGTGGCAGGAGACAAATTGCTTGGTCATTGTCTTCGGTCCACCCTCTCTGGGGCACCTGGTTACTGGCCACTGTCAGCAGACAGGCTACTGGGCTAGATGGACCTTTGATCTGACCCAGTATGGCCGTTCTTACGTTCTTGACTATGTAGTAACTATGTCCCATTTACATTTTGCACTCATGGGCTCTATGCCACCGCATGTATGGCACCCTTAGGAATATGCAAGTACAACTGGTGGCAGAACCGAGTAAAACAGTCAAACTTGCTGCATCTCTTATGGTGGGAACGGAATGAAGCAATACGCAAACAGCAGAGCTGAGTTACGATTGCTGGAGGCCCTCTGACTCCAAATTTCCTCAAAAATAGGTATAAAATCTGAACAGCAGCATCTCCTTATTTGTTTCATTTAATTATGAATCTGAAGATTTTTATGTCTCTGTATGGGGGTGGGCAATCATTTTTTTTGCTGGGGGCCACTTCAGAAATTTGTTAAGTGGCCCTGGGCTGCACTGGAAGGGGAGGGGCCTCAAGCAGAAGGGGCAGGACTAAGATACTCCCCTGCTTCCCCACTCACAGACCCTGATTGGTTTGGGAGCGTGGAAAGTGCGCGAAGTCTCCTCCCACCCTGCCAGGAGCGTGTGGTGCTTCTGAGTGCTGCATGCTCCTCACAGGGTGAGGGGAAGGGCAGAGGACACTTCGTGCACTCCTCCTGCCCCCAGGTCAATCAGGATTTGGGGCAGGGGAGTATGCAAAGTCTCCTCTCAGCCTACCAGGAGCTGCATGCTCCTGACAGGGTGGAGGAAACTTCACGTGCTTCCCCCCCCCCCCCAGGCCCTAATTGGCCTGGAGACGGGGGAGCAGCAGGGCCTCTGTGGACTGGGTCATGGGCAAAGCTTTTTGAAAGAGTCACCATTCAGACTGAACATTTTTAGCTGTGTCTCTGCCCAAAGGTGAATTGTTCTTGCAAGTTTGACTGTATCCACGCTACTGAGTTAGGTGAGAAAGTGTGTGTGTGTGGGGGGGGGGGGGAAATCAACTCTTGTTAGGTGTTCTTATTGGTGCCCAAAACAGCTACTATTTTAAATTTGAAATAATACTGGCTAAGGAGTATTGTACACAACCTCTGAACTAGTTTTGAATTCATTTAGTTATGACTATACAAACTGCACGGTCTGCAGAAAATGTGGTTCAATACAGAAGGGCCAGATTCATGACTAGTGTTCCATGTTTGGACAGCCCCAGAAATCCATGCAAATTGGTTCACGGGCCGACCAGTAGAGTTGGTCAACATTTCTAATCAAAAGAAATGGGTGTATGTGGATGATGTTTTTTTGGTCAAAAATAGGCTTGCCTTCTCCCTGCCCCATTACAAATGTCAGGACAACTTTTCACTCCCCCCAGTGTTTGATGACCATCAATGTCTATGTTACTTTTGAAGTGGAATTTGGGAGCTTTGTAAGCAGACAAGTGTAACTTTTTGATCTCCACTCCTGATTTAAGGCAAGGGCTTGGAAGCACTGATTGCTCTCCAGTGTGACAGAAAACAAAAACACAGCAGCCCAAGCAGCATATAGTAGCTAGGACAGGCATGGGCAAAGGGCCCTCCGTGGGCCGGATCTGGCCTGCCAAGCTGGTGGAGCTGGCCCATGGCCACCCTGCCACTCCCCCATCCCCAGGCCAATGAGAGCCTGGGGGCGGGGGGGCAG